ATGTGCTGAGCGCAGATGAATGTGAGCAGGGTCAGTCGCCAATGATGCACGAATAGCATCGACAGCTTGCGCACCCCACACGTATCTCACCCTACCCTGCCTTGGCGCGGCTGCCTGCACCCGGCTACGAAGGCTAGTCAAAGATGGAGGCACCATAACGGGTATGATAGCCCATGAGAGGCATCGGTGCGGTGTATGAAATGCATGATCGTCTACAGAGGTGTGAGAAGCTCGGCGCTTTCACGACCTGTTTTACAGCTTCTCTTAGCTTTTTCCGTATTGGCTTTCACGCGCTTTCTTGCGGCCTGGCTGAAGCGAGATTTTTTTTTCGAGTTCAATGCCATCAATCAATCGATTCATTGGCTCGCTGCATGGTCCGTCTGTCTATCTCTGTGTCTGTCTGTCTGTCTGTCTGTCTGTCAAGAGAGCTCTTCTCTCTTTAATGTCTACTCGCTGAGGCCTAGTCTTACACACATGAAAGCGGCCACGCCATGCAGGCCAGGCACCGCACCCACGCTTGCAACTTGCACGCCACGCCACGCCAGCCATCCCTCCGCCTCGTCCATCCATCCATCCATCGAAAATCCTGTGTCTTTCTCCTCTTCTCCGCCTGCCTGCCTGTCTGCCTTCCTTCTCTCCCCCTCTCTCTCCTCAGCGCCATGTGACGTGTGGTTGTAGGTATGCAAAGGTACGTCATAGCATCCATCCATCCATCCATCGATGGGCCGATCCACCCACTCATCGACCAACGGCAGCACTAGCGGCGGCGACCAAGGAAAGAAAGCACCCAGATAGTGAGACAGACAGTGAGATAGTCAGTCAGAGTGAGTGAGATAGTGGGCCGCACCGCACGACATGCGGCGTACGGGTAATAGTGGTACCATCCAACCATCCATCCATCAGTAGTGATACCAGCCCCCCTATAATGGTACCTCACGCTTCTCCCGCCACACCACACCCGTAATGGTACCGACTTGATGCAGTGCACGCACGCCACACGCACCACACATGTAGCTAGCTACACAGACAGCATGTTGTTTAGTTAAAGATAAGATAGAGAGAAAGATGCGACTAGAAGACGGCAGCTACCATAGATAGATGGCATGGATGGATTGAATTAGGGCTCTACAATAAGGATATGATGATTATCATACAAATCGGTGGGTCGCGTGTCGTGTGCGGTAGGTAGGTAGGTACGGTGTGTGGACGGACGGATGGATGGCTGAATGAATAAAGGGCCAATGACGGGATGAACGCAACGCAACGCAACGCAACGCATGTGTGTGAGAGTGGTATGTGTCGGCAAGCTAAGCTAAGCGAGCTGTACACAATCAATGAGTATGGACGGACGGCCACGCCGGCACGCTATGCAGTCAGACAGACAAGGCAGACAAGGCAGGCAAGGCAGGCAAGGCAGGCAGACAGGCAGACAGGCCACGTCACGTTAAAAGCACTGAGGAAAACAAACATCCACCCCCCCACAGCCATCCACAGCCATCCATCCATCCATCCGATGCACACCACGCCCCCGCAACCAGTCAGCCACAGCCAGCCAGCCAGCCAGCCAGGCAGGCAGATAGCTACGTCTCTTGCTTGCCTTGTTGCTGGCATCTACTACGCCACCCTGCCCGACCCTCTGTGCACTCTGTACGCCCGTACGTTGTACTCTTCTCTACACCATCTACACACACACGGCCAGCCAGCCAGGCAGACAGACAGGGAGAGAAACAACTCTACAGCTAATAGGGAGAGAGAGGCAGGCAGAGAAGGGGGGCTTCCTTCTCTTTGTGTGTGGTGGCTGGCCGCATCAATGGGAGGGGGGAGGGAGGGTGGGAGGGAGGGAGGGGCGAAGGCGGGAGGGATGCATGGACACAGGCAGGCAGGCAGGCAGACAGGCGGACAGACAGACAGGCAGAGAGCCCGGCATATACAGCACTCACTCACATCATAATAATATCAATCACTGCAGGCAGGCAGGCAGCTAAACTGGTAGGGAAGCTGTGCCAAACACACCCAGCCAGGCCAGGCCAGCCAAAAGAAAACACAAACACACACATCCATCCAATCAGACCACAGGCAGGCAACGAGACGAGCACCCAGCAAGCAAGCAAGCAAGCAATGTAGGTGGAACGATGAAGCAAACGTACACACACGCACGCACACACACACGCTGCCTGCAACCAACACACACACACACAGACACAGAGAGGAGAGAGAGTTAGGCATGTTTGCTTGTCGGGTCGCGTGCGGTGCGGTGCGTCCCTCCCTCCCTCCCTCCCTACGTACCTATACATCATCTAATGTTGTCATCCAGGGAGGTATGGTCTTCATTTCATGCAGACGACGATGGCTGTGATGTTGTCGGCGTTGGCCTGCCGCGACTGCTGCTCGCTCAGAGCCGCGTTGACCAACGCCTCAGCCGCACTGTGACCCTGACGAACCGCCGACGCAGCCGTCGACACGGCCTGCTCGGCGGTGAACACGTCCCACAGGCCATCCGACGCCTGACAGACAGACAGACACAGGGGGCGTGTGGCCGAGGGGGTGGCATGCATCAGGTTTGGATACCAACCAGTATGATGAATTTGTGAGTCTTCTCCATTTTGAACAGCGAGATGTCGGGCTCGGAACTCAGGCCGTAGTTCTTCAAGTCCTTGCCCTGAGGGATATATGGGAGGGGCGCGGCACGTGAGACGTACGTATCCATGTCTCAATCCTGATTGTGGTGTGGTGTGGTGTGTTCAGTTGCGTACCCCGAAGGCCCGCGAGTACTGCAGCTGCATTGGCTGCTCGCCCTTCTGCTTCCGAACCGTAAAGTCGCCACCTACTCCATGGACAGACACACACATCCATCCATCCATCCATCCAAGGCCTTCAGGCAGTGCAGGCAATGCCCTGCCCACTCATTGATTCCATTGGGTCACTCACCCACTCACCTCTGATGAAAGGTTTGTTGTTGTGGTTGTGGAGATACTCGACACTACCACCAGAACTCTATCATTTGGACACACATCACATCACATCAGAAATCACACACACAGAGTGAGCAGAGCAATGCTGAGCCGTGCCGTGCCGTGCACCTACCTCGATTCGTTTCCTCTCGTTTGGCTGGTCGGGCTTGTGGTCGTGTGTGAGGAACTGCGCATGATACCCGCTGCCCTTCTCTATACCGATCGCCGCACGACTGTCACCCTGCACACACAAACCACATTGATTAATGCAATGAATGCAGCCCAGCCCGTCGGCACGGCATGTGCGTGGTGTGTGCAGTGAGTGCAATGGATAGAGGTGTGACTGACGAGGTGGGCGACGCAGCATAGTCCACCAAAGATGAGTACGGTGACAGAGGTGGTGGAGGCGTAGTGCTTCTGGTGCGTGGCACACATGGTGATGAGCTCGCGGTCGGCGTGTGTGTACATGTCGCGCATGGCCCGCTGCAGCAGCTCGCCCAGCTGGTGGTCACTCAGCGGCGGGTGGTGGGCCTGGTGGGCTGACGATGAAGACCGATACCGCTGCTCCAATGACGCCCTGGAAACACACACACCCACACACACACACACACAGACAGACAGACAGACAGACAGACACAGACAGACAGAAGGAGGAGTATGGTATGCTTGGGGTGGTTGATTGGGGTGAGGGCGCTGGCTGGCTGACAGACCATGCGGGTGAGGCGATCAAATGGGGTATGACAAGGTCTTTGACGTTTTCGGAGGCGAAGTCCCCCACGGTGCCGTCAAACACACCAAAGAAAGCACTATTGTCCCTGTGCACAGAATGGATGGAACCAATCAGCGAATGAAATGAATGACACACAGGGGCATCGCATCAATCAAATCATGATAGTCGGTCATATCATTGCCTGACCTTCCCTCGATAAGATTCGGGCAGATAGTAAAGCGGTCTTCCTGATACTTCCTCCCACCTGCACCACCAACCAACACACAGACACACACACAGATGGGAAACTGAGAGCAGAACTGCCTGGAAGTGACTGATGATATAATCCGTCAAAAGGCGTCCGTACCGATTGTGGTGAATACTGACAGGGCGAATCTGGGGTACTCTGTGGGCGGGATGGGGCTGTGGATACACACTGGAAGAGCTCGCTGCTCCTGCAACATTCACACAGACAGGCACACCAGACAGGCAGGCAGGCAGGAACAGGGCGAATAATGAGCACCGCACCGATGGTCTGTCGGTCGACTGTCTGTCTGTCTGGCTTCCCTCGTGACCCACCGGCCCCCTTCTGTGGCCACCAATGTGCCCCTGTCTGTCTGCCTCTCTCCGCCTCTCACTGCGGCTTCAATTGCCCATATCGATCCCCTCTTCTCTTCCTGTGCGTCCTCACTTACCTTAGCTGGTAACGCGGTTGAGTTCCTCATGCTCACTCAGACGAGGCGAGAGAGGGCGCTCCACTCGACCGACTCGAGGCGGAGCTCGGACTAGAGGCAATGTGATCGGTTTCGACGCCAGTCAGCCGTCAGCTGTACAGCAACTCGCATATCATCGTGTCAGAGGCCAAGTCAGGGAGTCGTGAGTGTTTGTCAGCAGGCTTTTCTGTGTAAGCGGTGTATGTGTCGCAGGGTTTCATGGAGCACCCTAACAAATTGCGAGCTTAGACGAGTTCAGCAAAGATGAGTTCAGCCACTGCTTTGTGATACCAAGTCGTGTGGGTGTCCAAGGCGATGATCACCCGGCCAGCGACGGCTCTAACGAGGCTTGCAGCGCGGCAGCACGAGAAGGCAGCAGACTTCCTCACCCAGTCATGCTCATGCCTTCCACCATCCCCCTCCTCGCAGCACCACCGGCCTCTGTGCAGCCTCGTCAGCCCACATCGGGCAACCAGCATCAGCAGGCGCCACACCGACACATCCCCACCCGGCATCCCACCCAGCCGGCGGCAGATCCCCGTGCCGTCGCCGCGGCAGATGGATCCTTCCATCAGGGGAAGGGCGCTGCACATGAGCCGTGTTGTGTGTCAGGGGACCGCCAAGGACCCCTATGCGACGCTGGGCGTGGGCAGGGGGGCCAGCACGGACGAGATCAAGAAGGCATTCAGGCATCTGGCCAAGAAGTACCACCCCGACATCAACAAAGACGAGGGCTCTCAGCAGAAAATGGCAGAAATCACCAGGTGGGGGTACACGAGGGGCGGGCGGGTGTCTGCCGCAGTGGATGCCTGTATGTCTGTCTGTGTGTGTGTGTGCAGTGCCTACGAGATGTTGTCAGATCCCAAGAAGAGAGATTTCTACGACAAGACAGGTGGGCGGGCGGGCAGCACGGCCTGCAACAGGCCTGCACAACCACAACCACGGCATGGCAGGGCTGAGTGTGTGGCGATTGGATTGATCCATCCATGTGATCCGTGCCGTGCGTCCAGGCATGTCGGCTGACGAGGCGGGTCATGGTGCGCCGGGTGCGGGGGGTTTTGAGGGCTTTCACGGCGACCCCTCCTGGATGTTCTCTGACTTCGCCAACATATTCGGTCGGTCGGTGTGGATCTTTGGTGTGCACACAGCCAGCATGACATGACGCGTGTGGTGTGCACTGACCTGCTTGTGCGGTGTGGGCTCGGCTGGGCTGACATGTCTGTCTGTCTGTCTGTCTGTCTGTGTGTGTGTCAGGGAGGATGGGCAGCGCTTTCTCTGGGTTCGCTCAAGCGTCGAGGGGAGAGGACATCCAGACTGAGGTGACCATCGACTTCATGGAGGGCATCAACGGATGCGACAAGGTGCGGACGTCACAGACAGACAGACAGACAGACAACCACCACCCGAACCATTCATTCTCGTGATCCTTCCCTCCCTGTCTCTCCCTTGGTCCGTCCGTCCATCAGACGCTCCGATATCAGGCCAAGGCTCAGTGCGGCACGTGCAATGGCACCGGATGTGCGCCAGGTACGGGTCTGGAGACGTGCCGCGCGTGCAACGGGCAGGGGGTGCGACGGCTGGAGAGGGGGCCGCTCACCATCGGCATCCCATGCCAGACCTGCAACGGCACCGGCAGGGTCATCAAACACCCCTGCAAGTCAGTCAGTCAGCCACGGACGGACTGAGACCACCACACACCACACCCAGCCAGCCAGACCAGAGTGGATCGAATCTGTGTCTGTCTCAATGTGTGTGTTTGCAGGACTTGCAAGGGCAGCGGGACGGTCTTGGAGAGCAAGACCTTCACCCTTGACATCCCCGCAGGGGTCAAATCCGGCATGGAAATGCGGATACCCAACGCCGTAGGAAGGAGTGATGTGAATCACTGTTCAGTCAGTGTCCATATGTGTGTGTGTGTGTTTCTTGTGTCCTCCTGCCTGCCTGCCTGCCTGCCTGTGTGCCTGTGTGGCATGACCAGGGTCATGCGGGTGAGCACGGCGGCAAGCCCGGCCACTTGTTTGTGACGATCAAGGTGCGGGCACATCCCCTGTTCCGGTGGCTCGACGATGACATTCACGTCAACGTGCCCATCTCACTCAAACAGGTTAGTTAGTGCGGATGGGGTGGCTGTGCTTCTGTGCCTGCACGACGGATGCATCTGCCGGATTCTCTCCCTCTCTGTCTGTCGGTCGGTCGGTCGGTCGGTCGGTGTGTGTGTTAGTCGTTCCTCGGTGGTGAGGTGGAGGTGCCCACCCTGCAGGAGCCCATCAAACTCACCGTGCCACCAGGCACCTCACCCGATACCGTCAAAATCCTCAAGGGAAAGGTAAGGTGGGCAGATCACCAACCGAAGACATCACCTTCATTTCTCTCGCTGTGTCTGTGTGTGTGTCTGTGTGTGTCTGTGTGTGTGTGTGTGTTTGTGGCAGGGCCCCCGTCGCACTGATGGTCGCGGTTACGGTCACTTGATTCTCCACTTCTACCTCCAGATGCCCGGCAAACTCAACACCACACAGAGAGAACTTATCCAGCAATTCGACACGTAAAGCGCCATACCCACACACACACACACACACACAGACACAGAGAGAGAGAGGGGGGGAGGCCCAGCAACCGGTTGTGTGTCTTTGCCGTCCCTCCCTCTCCTCTGTCTCTCAGTTTGGAGCAGGAGAACGAGAAGGGTCGGCGGGGAGGTGCCAAGGAGCAGCCCTGGTGGCAAGAGGTATGCACACACACCCACTCACTCACTCTGACAACAGAGGATCCTCACACTTTTCCTTCTCTCTCCATGTGTGTGTGTGTGTGTGTGCGTGTGTGTGTGCGTGAATGTGGCTAACAGCGCATCAGCAAGGGCGCAGCATCATGACACTGGCTGCTGGCCGACCCGCCCGGCCACCCTGGTTCTTCGTTTGGTTGTGTGCGCGGCTCGCTTTAAGCCTGAAGGCGGATCATGGAGCTGACTGGAAGATTGCTGGCTGGCAGCCTGTCTGTCTGTCTGCCACTGTCTGGGTGTGTCTGATAGATATCGATGTGTCCGCCTGTGAGTGAGACCATCCATCCGCCCATCGAGGCACACGTGACTGACGTGTCTATTGAGGATCGAGTGATGCGTGCTGCAGCCAGTGGGCCAGGCAGTCGGGCGTCCAGCGTGTGTCTGCCTGGCCGACTGGCAGGCAAGGAAAGGCAAGGCAAGGCTCCCCGCTGTGCCATGTCTGTCTGTCTGTCTGTCTGCATGAGTTTGTTGATTGCTTCGTGTGTGGTGTGCATGGGCGTGAGCGTGACCGTAGCGTGAGCATGACAACAGTCAGCTGCTGTGTGTGTGTGTGTGCGTGTGAGCATCGATGTGCCTGTCAGTCAGTCAGTTTTGGGCGGCCTACAAACAAGACCCTTGTTTGTTCCATGTGTGGTGGGTGTGGTGTGGTGTGGTGTGGATACCGACGGCTGTGACCGACTGACGTGACGATTCTGATGACACCTGCAGATCAGTCAATCACTCCCCCGGCCCATGCCATGACACAAGAGTGCTCTGTGAGGAAGCACCGTGCATTGCGAACACCTCTCCAATGCACTCCCTCACTGCAGTCACTGCAGTCCACCCACGTGTGTGGATCGGATCGTTGACTGCATTGCATTGCACTGCACACCTTCCCTCTCCCTCCCTCCCTCCCTCCCTCCCTACTGTATTTACCAACCAAACACACACGTTAGTCCATCCATCAACCGACCTCCCCAACCACCCTCCCTCCCTCCCTCCCCAGACAGACCCTTGCCTGCCTGACTCATTCATTCATTCAGTCATTCACCGTCTCGGCTTTGGCTGATATCGGACCACGAGAGGCTCGCCCTTCCCCTCACCCGCAGCCCCACCGCGAGCGCTGTCTCTGGCACCAGCACCGGCCTCATTGACAGAGAGCAGATCCGCGTAGACTACACCGACGCCATGGCCGTTGGCCTCCTTCTGTGGGAGTGGGGCAGGCAGACAGACAGGACAGCATGCATGTGTGTACTGTATGGCGGTGTTGTGTTGATCGATCTCATGCAGGTCAGGTGGCGCACCTGCTGTGCCTCGTAAATGATGGCCCCGTACACCCGTGACCAGTAGGCCTCTTGGCGCTGCACCGACGGCACCAGACAAACACATACAGCCACACACGATAAAAGGCAGGCCCTTTTGTGTGCGGGTCGTGGTGTCTGTCGACAACTCACCTCCTTCTCCTCGTCCTCCTTCTTCCGGCGCGTCCCGGCCGACGGCGAACGACGCCTCACCTTAGCCTAGACATACATGCAGGACACACACAGAGAGACAGAGAGACAGACAGACAGCGAGAGAGAAAGGCGTGTTGACACATCGCATCACGGCCACTGTCAAGTTTGTGTCCAAGAAGAGCAGACCTTTGCGAGGAAGTGCGGATTTGCGAAGAGGGCCTTGATCTTGCGAACCATGGCCTCCCTCTCGTCCGCAGACCGACTCACAAAGCCGCTGTTCACTCCCAACTAAACACACACACACACACACACACAGTTGTCCATCCATCCATCCCGTCTGACGTGTGTGACCACCTCTGCTCTGCTGCACCGCACCGCCCCGACCTGTTTGTAGATCTGTCTCCTGATGTTGTAGGGGATGCCCTTCATGACGTCGGCGTCCATGCCGTGGTCGGCGTACCACTGGTCCATGCGGGCCCGCTGCCTCGCCAGGATGTTTGCGCGCTTGACGGGGTCGCTCCAGGTGGCCCGCACCCGGCGGCTCCACCACTCACGGTAGGCGGGGTCGGCGAAACGCTCCGCTCGCTGCTGATTCATCTGGGACCTGTGAGGTGAATTAGCAGACACAGCAGCATGCCAGGCCATGCCAGGCACCCATTGGGTGAGTGAGTGGAGGGAGGGAGGGGAGGGGATGTGATGGGTGGAGGCAATGCATTGGCGGCCGCACGCAACGCAACGCACCTGTACTGCTCGTCTGCCCACTGAGAAGGAACAGACAGACAGACAGACGGGAAGTGACATAAGGGTGGGTGTTCTTGGTTCGTTCGTTGGTTGGTTGGTTGGTGTGGGTGCGTATGCCAGCCAGCCTGTCTCTCCACTTACTCACTCACCAGTTCTTTCTTCTTGACACTGCAGAGCTCCCTGTTGGCTGTCCGCTGCGCACCCTGCACCCACATACCGACCCGGGCAGGCCAGGTACACACACAGCCAGCATACACACACATCACATCGAATCGACTCCCCTTGTTCTGGTTGTGGTGTATGTGAGTTTGGTGTGGCGACTGACTTGACTTGCCTGTAGGATTCTCTGCGATACGGTTTCCTTGTACTCTGGGTCCGCCCACCGCGCCTTCATCTTGGCACTCATACGCACACGGGCCTCATCAGAGTAGCCCTTACGCTGATAAATAAACACAACACGCCACACACACACACGCACACACACACACACAGACGTGTGTGTGTGTGTGGTCCACTGTACTGTCCCACCGCTGGCTGACCGTGGCGGTCGTCTGAGTGCGTTGGTACTGTAGCACCTCAGCTTTGAGGTCCATCAGGCCCATGTTGGTGAGCAGCTCGTCCAGCTCCCCCTCATCCACCGGGGGCAGGCCCAGCTTGTCCCGCTCCGCCAACAGCTTGCGGGCCCTGTGCAGCCTGCCCCTGATGCGCTTGTACTCCCGCTGCTTGTCCACCTTGTGCTGCTTGTACTCGTCGTAGGTCATGTTGAGCGACGCGGCCTTGGCCTCGTCCCTGGCACGGTGGCTCGCTAGCAACCTGACGGACGGACGGACGGACAGACAGACACAGCTCCTTCTGCACTGCACAGTGGGTGTAGTGTGGTGTGCGCTCATGTTTTCAGTCAGGTGTGTGTGTGACGATTGACGCCCACTCACTGACTCACTTAGCTCGTATGCGCTCGTTGGTTCTGTTCTCCGGCGGTTTGTGTGCGTCCCTCTCCTTGTAGGAGATGCCCTTGTTCCACGGCACAGCCCCCTTGGAGGATATGCTCATCTTCCGCTTGGTCTCCTCCGAGTGCCTCCTGCCCTTGTGCGGATGACCCCGTTGACGCATTATCGCGTGGGCCTTCCGCGCGCCCTCCGCACACCTCGCCCGCCCCTCTGGTGACATGTTGGTCCGCTTGCTCTTGTATCGCTGGTAGCGGGTCCAGTTCTCCGGACGGACAAAGTCGGCAGGAACGGCCGGGTCGTCGGCATTCGCACCCACGATTGTCGCCTGTTGTTGGTCATCAGGAGGGAGGACGAGAAGGGTGAAGGGGCCGACCTGTTGCCATTTGATTCGGATGAGTGGCCGTGGTCGCTGTCGTGGCCGTGCTGGGCGGACAAGGCTGAATGCACGGGGGGAGGAGAGGAACGCAGGAAGGGCAGAGGGGTAGGGAGGACGCTGCACTCGCCCTCGCCGCCGCGGTCTCCTCCTCCACGAGTAACACTCGTCATCCTCATTGGCTGACCATTGCTGATGCGCTCGCCTCTCAAGAAGATCACCTCGTCCGCCAAACATGGACAGCGGCAGCTCGGCGGACGACTCAGCAGCGGCAGGTATGATGCAGGTGGACAGAAGGGCCGCCGCAAGAGAGGATAAGGCTGTCAACAGAAGCCGGAAAGAGAGGGAATGAGCCTGCGTTGAAAATGATCTACAAGGCGGATCTTCCGTGCGGCACTGCCGTGAAGCGGGCATCAGGCTGCTGCATCAAGCTCCATCATCAAGCTGGTAGAGCTCCATCTTGCGAACTCATCATTGGTCATTCTTCCTGCCTCGTTGTCGCCATATATGTGGCGGCCTCAGCAGCTAAGCTCGCAGTTGAAGGGATCGCCAGTTTCAGCTCGCATTGGCTCCCGAGGGTCTCTAACGCGCCTTTGGCAAGCATGGCAGGTGAGAGGGCCACACAGGCACTTACAGACAGAGGGAAAGAAAGATCCGCGACAAACCACACCACCCAGAGGGAAGCGCCGCGTCTGACTGGTTGGTTCTCTCCCGGTTGTTGTGTTGTGGCGTCAGAACGTGGCGGCTTTGGCCGTGGCTTCGGCCGGGGTGGAGACCGCGGGCGTGGACGCGGGCGAGGCAGGTTAGTCAGCTGACAGCCATAGGGGGATTAGCAGGGGTGGGGTGGGGGACTTGGAGGGAAGGACTGTGGTTGTGTTGTGTGTTGTGTGTTGTGTGTCTGTGTGTGTGCCGCTGCTTCGTGGGTTGGTTCATTCTCAGGGGTCGTGGTCGTGGTCGCGGCGGTGAGGACAAGGAGATCTGGACGCCCGTAACCAAGCTGGGCCGGCTGGTACGGGACAACAAGATCCAGTCCATCGAGGAGATCTACCTTCACTCACTGCCCATCAAGGAATACCAGGTCAGTCAAGTCAAGTCACACACGCCCTCACGAGTCAGTCATCTGCTGGGTCGGTCGGAATACACTCTGTCTGTTCTGTGTGTCCGTGTGTGTGTCAGATCATCGACCGTTTTTTCGCGCCTGGTACGTTGAAGGATGACGTGATGAAGATCATGCCCGTGCAGAAGCAGACCCGAGCCGGACAGCGCACCCGCTTCAAGGCATTCGTTGCTGTCGGTACGCACCGCACGCACACAACAGCACACACCAACGAATGTTCGGTGACGTGAGCTGACGTGTCATGGAATGGACGAACGGCCACACGATTGCAATCGTGCCTGTGCTGTCTGTATGTGTGAAGGTGACAACAACGGTCATGTGGGTTTGGGTGTCAAGTGCGCCAAGGAGGTTGCCACGGCCATCCGTGGGGCCATCGTCGCCGCCAAGCTCAACCTCATCCCTGTCCGGTAGGTACCCACCCACAACCCACACACCGCATCAAATCAAATCAAATCAATGAACGTCTCTTGGTCCCGTCCTTTGTTTGTGGTCTATCTGTCTGGTTCGGTTCATTCAGCCGTGGGTACTGGGGCAATCGCATCGGTCAGCCCCACACGGTGCCGATGAAGGTGCACGGCAAGTGCGGTTCGGTGCGCGTGCGGCTGATCCCCGCACCCCGCGGCACCGCCATCGTCGGGGCACCCACCACCAAGAAACTCCTACAGGTGCGCTGCGCCGCACAGAGAGTCAAGCAAGCTAGGGAGGGGGCTTTCTTTGTCTTACGAGAGCGTGTGTGGATGCGTGTGTGTGTCTCCCTCACCCACATCTGTGTGTACCTGGATGCGATGCGATGGTATGCAGTATGCGGGTGTCGAGGACTGCTTCTCGTGCACATCCGGCCACTCCAAGACACGAGGCAACTTCATGAAGGTAAGGGAGATAGATATCACACATCTTAGATATCCACATGTTGGTTGATCCGATCCGTCGGTGGAGTGGACGGATGTGAAAATGGGTTACTGTGGGGGGCGATGGATGTTTGTTACCCTTCGTTTGTTTGTTTGTTGTTCGTTCAGGCGTGTTTCGACGCGTTGAGCAAGACCAGCGGGTACTTGACGCCGGACCTGTGGAAGGATCACCCGTACGCCAAGTCGCCCTACCAGGAATGGTCCGACTTCCTCGTCATGACCTCCGGCAAAGACGTCGTCCTGCCAAAGGAACAACCCGCCTACTGAATGAAGTGAACGACCTGACGAGAGCTCAGGGGGACGGACGGACACCTGCGTGCGTGTGAGTGAGTGACGCGACCGGCTGGCTCATGCGCGTGCGCGTGTGTGTGCGTGAGGTGGGATTGGTGGACGGTTTCCTTCCGTGTGCCTGTGATGTGCGTGGCGTGCGATGGGGACGCACCCGTTCGTTCATGACGTCCAGGAATGGATACCTTCAGACATGTCATGGTCCGTGACGTGAGTGTTTGCTGCGTGCGGTGCGGTGCGTGTGTTGTGTGCATGTGGTTTCTGAATTGATTGATGGTTTCAAGGAAGTCAAGAGCAGAGCCTGCCCAGCCCACCCACTAGAATGAATGAATGAATGCATGCATGCATCAATCGGGCCAGCTGGATGGAAGCCATCCGCACTGGCAGGGCAGATCTCACAACAAAACCAGACAGGGAGGGAGATAGATACACAGACAGACAGACAGACGGGCACCATTCATTCACCCGATCGATCATAGATAGGCATAGCTATGGCACATGTCATCAAGTCAGTCAGAGTCGGGATTGCCTGCCGGCCTCCACTCGTGTCCTTCTTCTCTCTACTATATATGCACACACAGCCTGCAGCATCAAGTCGAATCGATAACTGGATGGATGGATGGATACACACTCTGTCCACACACACGGGTCGGTCGGCCACTCACTTACAGTCGGTCGTCGACACACTCCGATGTCAGTGACAGGGTTGTCTGCGTCTCGTCGCGCGAAAATCTCGCCACATGCTTCGTTCGTGTCGCTTTCCGCGTGCAAAAGGGAGAGGAAAAGGGGGGAGGAAGGAGCCTCAAGGGATGGCGATCGCGCAGGTCCCAAGTGGGGCCATGGGGATTGGTCGGTCCTTGCGAACACTCAACACTGCCTGCACTGCTACAAAGCGCCATCTGCTTAATTAGCTGTAGGAAGGAACCTCAGCGATGTCCCACGGACCCTTGATCTCACTACAGTGCGCACACCACACACGCAGCCACACAGTGACCCGACTTATTGGGCTGTGGAGGGAGGTGCCCGCCCTTTTCGTGTGCCAGCGTACCTTTTGTATCGCTGCGAGTGGATGAAGCAGTAGGGACCGACAAATGTTATCAGCAATATGCTGCAGCCAGTGGCAGAACAAGGGACCGCTTAGGTGTCTGTCTGCTGGTACATACATTACCCACCAACCAGGTTAGGTAGAAGAATGCCATGTGTATGGACACGAGCTTCAGCAGCCAGTAGGCCGTGGCCACCAGCAGGGGAGTCAGCACGAACGTGTACGCCCACTCACACGAATCCTGGACAGGACACACAGCACAACAAACAGACAGACAGGGGACATCGGAGGAAGAGGGCTGCTGCCTGCCCTGCCAGCAACGGGACGTCTGTGTGTGGTGTGGTGTACTGTAGTGACCCACACACCCTGATATCTCTGCGGAGAATGAGACTAAGGCCGAACATCCTGCGCATCACACATGTGCGCATTGCAGTGAGTGTTACCGACTCGCCCGCCCACACACCCAGCCCAGCCGCCCATTCACTCACTCACTCACTCACTCTATTGCGAACAAGACAACCGAAAACACCTGTGGGGGAGGAAGGGAAGCCACATAGGGATAAATGGTGGGTGCAGCACCTTTCAGCGTTTGCACTGACTGACACGTAATTGACTGACCTCTGCGGACGTGTTCAGTCGAGAGGCGAGCAACACCTGCGCCGTCCGTCCGTATGGGACCATAGGCAGGATAGACACAGACCATGAGGGGCATATCGTGGCCTGCCTGCCTGCCTGTCTTACTAACATCATCGTACCTACCGCAGCGAACATGGCTGCATTTAAGCCAAACGGGCTGGGCGGTCTGGGCGACGGGCGCACCCCTGGCACCTGCAGACCAGACCCAGCCACAAAACACACACCCATACAACCAACAGATATCTGCAGACTCCACTGCACTGCCCTGCACTGCACACAAGTGAGTGCTCCCATCCTCTCTCACGGCTGGTCGCCTGTTGGGCTTGTTGCTTCCGTACACGAAGTGGTAGTCGTAGAAAGCCAAATGGAGCAACAGAAACACTGAAGACAGTCAACAGGTAGCGTAGCGTAGCACACCAGAGGCAATCAATCGACGCTTATGTGGTCCGTCCGGCGCAATCGATGTTGGCTGGTCTACTTACTGGTGGTGAGTGTGTAGAGGGTGTCGCTGCTGTAGGTCTGAGTGAGCGTCTGCAGCACCGGTGACAGCATCTGTGGCCGACCGAGCAGAACAAGCAAGGAATCATCAAGGCTTGAATCATCATCGGTGGCCCTAGCTTGTTCGACTGACTGACCCAGAGGAATCCCACGATATTCACGGCACTCCTGAGGGCTCTCCATGTGCCGCCTGCACGTAATTACAGCACCCAGACCAATGCAATGCACCATCAGACAGACACATCCCTCCAGCCCCTCTCCTCTCCCATCCACGGTGGATAGATACCTTGCGGCTCTTTGTTGCGGCGAAGCAGCACGCAGACAACATACCTGACACACGAACACACGCAGTGGTTAGTGTTGCAATCGTCTGGGTAGTCAAGCTACCCGCCCGCCTGGCTCACCCATTCCATTCACCCCACCCATCCACCTACCCGCCAGCGAGCAAGCCCATGTCGAGGCCGACGAGCCACCGCACGTCAACCATCCCCTTGCGCAGCAACACATACAAAGCCAGGAAGAGCGTCAGACAGCTCAGCGGCTGCGTGAGGTCGACAGACCAGCAACACAACGTCCAGTACCGATACTCGCCAACCGTTGCTGCACACACACACACATACACACGCATACACACACGCACACAGTCGCATCAAACATCCATCCCATGGCAGCCGTCTGTCTGGTCAGGCAGGTGTCCCATGCGCACCATTGGTAATGAGTGAGTCGAGGAATGTGATGTCGACGTGTGTGTCATCATAGGGCTGCCGCTCGTAGAGGATCTTGCGCCACGGCACTCGCTGGCCGTCCTGACTCCTCTCCCTCTGAAAACGCCACGTGTGCGACAGCTGTAGCAAGCAACCCAAACAGAGAGAAAAAAGGACTCGCTCACTGCATGCCATGTCGGCTCATGCATGAGTGAGCAACGAGGACGAATCTCTGTCTGCTGCCACACAGGTCGGTGCATGCTTTGCTCACCGGGAAGCGCGGCTCTTTGCAGAGAGGACAAACGACCTCCTCCTGGAAGAACTTTCTGCCGTCGTAAGGACAGTAACGAAACAGCGCCATTTGGGTTTTGTCGAAGATCTGGGCAGATCTTGGCTCAGCAGCGACAGCCAGAACGACTTGCTGTGCCCATGTCGGTAGATTAGAGTGGCTGTAGAGGATCGCTGTCGTTGCCCGTTAAGGCAACAGATGAGCCAGAGGGACGGTTGACGAGAAGGAGGGACAGTTCGGAGTGCTCAGGGTTCTCAGCATGCAGTTGCATTTCACGGGATCTACCCCAACTCACACGCAGCCTCTGCCTTGCTCCCAGGGTTTTGCTTTCGCGTTCGCGAGAGGGCCCGGCCTGGTGTGTCCGACGCCCGCGCAAGTCTCAAGTGGCCAGCGCTGTGTACATTCCCGCGACCTCTCCCTCGGTCGTTACCAATCATTATGGTGTTCGCTGACCTGCCCGTTGAATGTGTCCGAGGTATCTTCGGCCACCTGACGACCCTCGAGTCATTCCGGCTCTCCCTCGTCTGTCGCCTGTTTCGTGCGGCTGCGGGCTCTCCCTCTGCATATCAACATCTCACCGTCGTCCCTGCAGAAACGTCAGCATGGAGCCGGCTTACTCCCGCTGGCGCCTCCCTTCTGGCCAGCCGAATGTGCCATTCAGCGAGGGCGTCCATCAGCGTTTCTGAGGGGAATGTGGCCGGCCTCATTGTGCTGCTGGAAGGCACTGCTGCTGCACTGCGGTCCCTCGAGATCACAAGTGCGCGGCACCGAGTGACCTCGACTGGAGTGTCGACGACGAGGAGGAGGCAGATCTTCCCACGGCTGGAGAGGGTGCGCATCGATGGGGACACTAACGTCTGGCTGGCGATGGCGGAGGAGCGACGATGGGTGCTCCCTGTCCTGCAATTGTTTGAGTTTGCCTCCATCGTGCCGCCGAGCGACGCATCGCCCGCCAAGTGGGTGAGCGAGACGAGAAACCTCCGACATTTCATCCAAGACGGTCTGGTCGTCGACGAGCTGATCGGCTCGCTCAAGCAAGTGCCCAACCTCGTCGTTCTCGAGAGCCTCGGGGAGCTGTATCTGTTTGCGTGCACGGCAGCTGACCTGAACGGGCTGAAGACGCTGCTCCGGGCCAGTCGTGTGCGGCTGAAGAAACTGCGGGTGCATTTCCAAGGGGAGTGGGTGGAGGCGCTGAGCAGCATGCAGAACGTTCGCGAGCTCCACGCACTCGTGATGGATTCCTGTGCTGCCGGCTTCGCACTTGAGGTACGCAGATCAATCATATGTGCACACACGGCCATGGAGGAATCAAATCATCACCCGTATGTTTGGAGCTGAGCTGCAGTCTTCGTTCGAATGCTTTAAACGTCTTGTTGTGCCTGTCTTCTTGTACATGCCATGCGATTAAATGCAGGTCACGCATTTCAGCAGTGACTTCTTCCTCTATCCGCTAACATCGACCCCGGCCGATCAGGCCCTGAACGCGTTCATACGGCGCTCGGCTGCAGCGGCCAAGAGCGTCGCTATCGAGCAGGTCAGTTCGTTCGTCACAGCTGTCTCGTGTTTCATTCATATACTTCCCTCCCTCTTTACTTTTTCTTTCATGTGACTGATCATTTCAATCAACAGGATTTCGACGCCTCTATCGAAGAGCAGGAGGACGACTTTGAGAGTCTTGGTCGCGCCTTTCGTGGGTTCCGTTTCGCCTCTGCTGACGAGGTGACGGTGGAATGCGACCAGCAGAATGACGGTGTCTTCCCTCCATGCGTCACCCGCCCTGACGCCCCACCCAGCTTCCCCACAGCGACGTCAATGAAGGTCTTCCGGCTGGTCGATCCCGACAACGCTGATATCGTCAGCCGCTTCTTTGCTTCGGTACGGCGGCCGATAGATACACATGACGATACTGTCGAGCTGATGTATGTGTGTCGATTCCAGGCCCCACGAGTGGAGCGTGTGCTGTTTGACAGGTCCAATTGCGCGCTGGTCCAGAGATGCCTCGTCGCCTTGCCAGTGAGCCGCCTCGAGAAAGTCACCATCGACCACCTTCGGCTCGGCATGTGCGGGAATCAGCAGCTGGGGCTCTTCGACGACCCACGGATGCCTTCCATCAGCGAGATCTCCATCAGTATGCACGATGCTCAGGCCCTGCCAAGCCCGCTGCACGCCTACGTTGGCGAGGTGGCCCATGTGAGGGGTGCACAGAAGGTGTCTCTGTCGTGGTCTGGTAGGGGGGGCGGGGCGGGAGCGGGAGGCAGGCCGACTGCTGATGGGTTCCGTGAGGCCTTTGTCGGTTTTGACGTGAAAGGGTACCTGAGCCGGGAGGGGGGCAATGGTGTGTGGTCGGGATCAGCAGTGTTGGAACGGCACTAACTGGTACGTAGAGGCCCTGAGGGCTATCCATGAAGGTACGTGCATGCGCATGCCGTTGCAACAGCGCATCCCTCACGCGTGCATGGGCCTCTCCGCAGGCCGCGCGGCATCCACGTGGGAGCCCCCCTGCTTGTAAATGGGCGAGGAGGTGCGAGCCCTCCTTCTCCCTTCGGTTCGCTCCCCACACACACGCGAAAGATGAGGACCTATTTGGGAGTGCCCAGCCGTCTGCCCTCCACCAGGAGCCTCAAGCAGCTCGCCGCGTGCGAACACATAGTCAACAAGCTCCATCATGAAACAGAGGCATACTTACAGGTGCTCACGGAGCTGCGCGGCAACCTCCTGGATGAGTCCAACCAGGTGCGAATGAGCCATCTCGCCCTCTCATCGTCACGGCCCGTCAGCCGATGCAGAGAGCGCCTTGACCTGCCGGCCCCAGCGGTGCTGAAGAGGGAGCAGCGGTCAAGCAGAGAGGCGGAGCCACTGGCGTTGCCGGATAAGCCACCGCTGCTTGCTGTGAAGGATGAAGCTGCTCTTCAAACTGCCATTCCCTCACAGGTGAGGTGAGCGCCCCAGGAGTTGTGGAGGTCAGCGAGGTGCATGCACTTCCCCCCTCCTCAATATATCGATACCTATGCTAAGTGATTCTCTTGTTTGCAGGTGACAGACAAGGACGCCAAGCCATCCCATCCCATCAGCACCCGATTTCAAGATGCGTCGCCGGCCCCCGAGCCCATCGCCGGCCTCTCGCGAGCCATCTCACGAAGGGCGAGTATCAGCAGGTCCCCCACCGGCGCCAGCAGCAGCCCCACATCGAGAAGGGCTACGATCAGCAGCCCCTCATCGAGGAAGGCTGCGATACGGTCTCGTCAGGGGCTTGACAAGAAGAGCTCCCGGATCAGGGGCTCGGCGACCAAGGAGCTTCAACAGCTGGCCGAGCTGGCCGTCGAGTATGAGAGAGTGTCGAGAGACCTGCTGCCCGTGTATGAGAGGGCGAGGCAGCAGCACGCCCGCTATCTCCAAAGCATCTACCAGGAGAGGCATTACTTCAACCCCATTTCGGGGGAGATTGAGCCACGACCGCAGAAAGCCGCTGCTCCCACCCAAGTAGTTTCGGAGACGACGGCTTCGGCGAATGGGGCGGCCTCTCTGCGGGCGGCGATAACCGCGAAGAGATACGCGGCGAAGCAAAAAGCCCTCAGGAAGGAGCGGAAGGCCGCTGAGACGAAAGCTGGCCGAGGGACGCCGGTGCGCCAGAGGACCCGAGAGACGCAGCCCGCAGTGACATCGAGATCGGAGTCTTCAGCTTCGTCAGCCACTGGAGACGAGCTGGTTGTGCTGGAGGGGCGTCTTGCCCTCATGCGCGACGAGACCGCCTCTCCCCACCCTGCGCGACGTGAGGAGTCGCCAACACTGGACATGGCTGACGACGACGAGGAGCCAGACATCAAGGCCAAGAGGGTGGCCTTCGAGAGGCTCGACAAGAGTGCCTCCAAGATGATCGCCATTTTGCAACGGCAGATGAGTGAAAAGAAGAGCCTGCCGGGGTACGGCAGGCAGGGGAATCTGCGCGTCGCCCTGATTGAGCAGAAGCCGGAGTACTTATCGCAGAGGCGGTTTCTGAGTAAGCTGCCGATTGCATCGAATGTGTTTGACGAAGAGAGGAAGCAGGAGCGGCCGATGACGGCACCCATCAATGGAAGGATGTTGTGCGGGCTGGCGTGACGGGCTGGGCTGCCTGTGACGTGTGCGTGTGAGCGGACGGTTCATGTGCGTCAGTTATCGTATCGTCTTTCTCCGCGATTGATGATTGTGTTGACGCCACACGAATGCATTCATCAATTACGGATGGATGTTTCCATTCATGTATCTATCTACAGCACACACGTCCTGTCCTGTCCTGGCTTGGACAGACAGATTGCCAACGGCGGAAGCTTCGTCGGCACATGTGGAAGAACACGTTCTCAGTTAATGAGACGTGCCGTCTGATTGCACATGGCATAGATGAGTAATTAAAAACACTCACCCACCCACCCACCCCAACTGTGGGGTCTGTGGAGTCACAGTTAGGAGATGTTAATGAGAGCGGATGGAGGCGGAAATGAGTCCTGAGTACCTTCAGAGATGAACAGAAGCACTGTGAAGGCTCTCGGACGTCTGTTGGCGCTCTACGGCAGCTCTTGGAAGAACTTCTGTACCGCGAAAATGTACATCGCAGAGGGAGAGCCTCGGAGAGGGAGATGAAGAGTGAGAGAGACACAGAGACAAAGAGAGGGAGAGGGAGAGGGAGAGGAAGAGAGAGACAAGAAAAGATGGACCGCCAGTGGATACATGGTGTGTATGTGTATATGTCTCGACTCGCCTATGCATAATCGTCTGTACGTCCACGTGTGCCTGTATGTGTGTGTGTGTGTATGTGTATGTGTTATATATAAGGGAGACGGGGGATTGATAAGATGGATAGATCGACAGAGACACACACCGTGCATTCAAGCAATCGATTGATCAATTGGCGTGTCCATTGTGCAAACATGAAAAGTCTGATTGGCTGAAAGCAAAATGACACACAAGTCCAATTCACGTGAGAACGTGTTGAAAGACGATAACGCCCTCTCACCGACGCTCCTCATCCGTAAGACTGCTACATGGAAGCGGACTTATGGAAAGATCGCGGAGGCACGCCATGAAGCACACGCACACAAATCAGGGGTGGCGTAGGCAGGTCAGTCAATCTGAGTGATTCTAGGGAGTCCAGATTCGACTATGGCGTCGGGCCAGAGGTACCCTGGCACACACACCGGCATAGGGCCCAGAGAGCTCACACTCAGGCAGCCAAACACACATGATACATAGATGGATGTCACATCTTGTCAGATGGCTGGCGGCAGGGTTGGCTCGGGGCCTTTTGACGATGTCAGTTCGCAGCTTCATGGAAGGCTCCACTGCCGACAATCACATGAGGATGGGGATTCATCTCATCTCCCTCTCTCTCTTCATTTGGTGCAGTTGGTTGATAGTGTCCTGCCGATGGACATTTGGGGTCGGTCTGGGGGGCGGCGTTGGCGGGGTCGTCATCGGTCGACATCTGCTGCTTCATCTCCGCCATGAGCTCGCAGCGCAGAGCCTTCCGCAAGTGACGCGCAATCCAAACCCTACCCCAGACGACAAAGGTGACGGACGGTCGAGCCGCGGACAGTTTATTTGAGGAGGCAGGTGTGTACCTGTAGATGAAGAAGAGTGACACGACGACGATGGAAGCGCCGATGATGGAGACGACGAAGATCCACCAGGGGACGCCCTGCTCCTCCTCAACTTTGTCCACCTTCTCCTCGAAGCCGATCTTGGTCGGATGGAGCAACGTGTCGCACTCCTGACAGATATCGACACGTACACACGCAGGGAGAGGGCGGCAGTTGGTGCGCTGGCTGGTGTCTCGTCTCATTGCTTGATGCGTGGACGTGTGTACCTGTGGTCGTTCCTCGAACCCTGAGCAGACGGCTTGTGTGATGACCTCCGGGTCGAGGGGACCACTGTACTTCCAGTCGTTGATGCGCATCGCCAGGGGGCTCCACGCGTGGTTGAGGCGCTCCCTGCTCAATATCGCCTCCTTGTCCTTCTGCACAACCAAGAAGAGGTAGGCAGTTGGGTGCGTGTTGTGTGATGTGTCCTCGCGAGGATCTGACGTACGGTGAGGCATTTGTTGATTTTGGTCATGTCTGCGCCAAGATTCTTCATGAGGCCGAAGGAGCACTCCTGGCCGAAGGCCTTGTTGCCCTTGCCGTCCATCGGGCACCTGCGCACCGCACACACGATTGACAGTATTCCCTGCCCTCAGCTCCTCCCTCCCTCCCTCCCTCCCTCGATGCCCGTGTTGTGCGTGTGGTGTCATACACGTTGGGTAGCAAGTCGACGTAGTTCCACCAGATCGCCGAGTAGTCGCCGCTCTGCTCCACATTGTGGTCAACAATCGCAGTTTCCCGCCACAGACACAATTGACTGCACACACACACCACCACCAGTCAGTCGTAAGTGTACCGTGCCCACGCATCCATCCATCCATCCATCCCCCTCTGCTCACTCACCGGGCGGTCTCCTCAACCACGTCCCGGCCGGTGGTCGAGCCCGCCATGTCGGGGTCCACGGCGCAGTAGGTGGCATCGTCGTCTATGCACAAGTCATTGAGGTCGACCGGGAGGCTGAAGATCCAGTAGTGCGGGCGGAAATCAAGCTGCAAGGTAGGTAAGGTGAGCAGCAACCACAGAACACCATACACACCACACAGGCAGGAGAGGAGAGGATGGAGAATGAGACGGGGAAGGGGAGAAGGAGTCGCCTTTGTCCTGACCTTGTGCTTGAGCGTCTTGGCGTAGTGGGAGTACTCCTGGAGAAAGTTGATGCTTTTCCCCACCGATAGGTCGATCCAGAAGTCCATCGACACCGTCGTCTCCTGCAGCGCAGCACCCACAGAAGGAAGACACAGACGAGAAGCCAATCCGCTCGCCTGGTCTCCGTCAAGACGTCCTTGATGTGGGTCTGACCCACCTTTGGCACGTCCCAGGCCAGCTCGACGATGACGTCAGTGGTGTTCTTCCGGAGCTCCTCGATCAGCAGGGACCCCTCCTTGTCACTGACAAAGATGGACGGCACCTTGACTTTGAAGCCCCAGCCGTCATCACCCATGATGACTCGCTGGATCTCTGACGGTGTCCTGCTGGACCCCAAGGTGTCCACCACTATCACCGCCATGGCCTCCTTCTTCTCCTGAGCGATGCGAACCTTCGTCACGAAGTTGCAATTCCCTTGATGAAGGAACGAACAAACGGTTAGAATGACTGTGACGCTGTCTGCCCTTCTTCTCTCTGTCGCTGTTCCCCGCCTGTCTGCTTGTGGCTGCGGTTGGGGTGCCATATTGTGTGTGATTTGTACCTCTCCTGACGACGACGATGTTGGGCAGCGTTCTTTCCCTCTCGCCGAGGGGCAACGGGATGTCATAGTCGTCCTCGCGGCACCAATAGTCGCCCTTGGTCTCGCCGTACACCAAGCGGCCAGTTATCCGCTGGCCATGATACTGCCACACACACACGACCAGCAGCCATCATACTCACCCCAGCCGTCCCTTAGGCCTTCCCTCCCGCGGCGCCTTGCCTCTGTATGTGTCTGTGTTGTTTGGTGTGTGTCTGTACCGGTGTGCCAAAGGCGGCAGTCGAGCCGTCGATCTTGGCCCTGTGGAACTTCTGGAGAGGCTCTTTGGATGGAGGATCCTGATTTGAGCCAATGTGCTGGCGACGTACGCAAGGCAGACAAAAATCGCCAGCGGCTTCCTGAGGACCATCCTGTGTGATTCTGATTTGACAAGGGGCCCCCTGTGCGGCTGCGATGTGCGTGCGATCCTTGCGTCTGACAGGTTCTCAGTCACTTCGCCGGACGTTTGCAGGCTGATGGCCGTTAGCTCCGAATTTACACCGCGTACATGGACGGAGGAGGGCTACATGCCATGTCGACGAAAACACCGGGCTTTTTCGTCTTCCTGAGGGACCTCTTTGGCGGCAACGCGGCCGTCGGCATCGTTGTGCTCATCGTCTTCTGCGCGGTCATGGTCATCGCGTCGCTGCTCTACTGCAAGTACCACTTCGATAGGTCCATCCAACCACGAGGAGCGAGAGAAGAGGATCCAGCAGCGACACGGCACCACACCAGCCCCTCCCCTTTCTCCCTCTCTCTCTCTCTCTGTGTGTGTGTGTGTGTGTGTGTGCAGATTGCCTTCACACAGCAAAGAGAGGAGGCGTCCTCAAGGAAGAAGGGGACATGGCATTCACTCGGCTGGAAGATAGGATAGGGGGCTCGGACGCGTTGACATCTACACGACCGAGTCGGCTCCCCACGACCAGACGTGCACCGTCGTGAGGAGACTGCTGGGGCAGCACCTGCGGCACAGGGTGCTTGGGGGTCTCAGCCGACGGCGTAGAGTATCAATCGTCGTTTTAACGCAGGAGCGTAGCTACTCCCCTCTGCCCGTCTGCTGGCGTGGTGTCTGTCTTTGCGATGTGTGCCTTTCCTCGACATGTCTGTCTGGTGATGCATGGCGTGACGTGTGAATGAAGATCGTGTCTGGCGGATGGAATGAACCACCACAGGCAGATACACGATCACATAAACACACCCACACGCCCGCTGCACTACACCGCATCGTCGACACACACACGTATGACGACAGAAATCAGCTGCGTGACTGGGGCTGCGTGAGTGGACATTTGACCTCGTGTCTCACGAGTGAGTGATTTGATGCACGTCATCTTTTGTTGTGTGTACGTCTGTCTGTATTGTGTGGTGTGGTGTGTCGATGGGCGGATTAGCTAACTGCAGTCAGTCTCAACCCAGTCAGTGCACTCACTGCAAGCAGACATCCATCCATCGATGGCCACACGCCATGCATCCCAGCGTGCTGAGTGTAGGTGGGGAGAGATGAGTGTCCAATGGTCAGTCAGACGGACAGACAGGTAGCAGACTGCGTGATGGAGAGAGAGTGCAGGCCAGGCGGGGGGTGACTTATTCTACACAGATGCAGAGACATGCCGTGTACTGACACACACATACATACAGTCGATCGACAGCCGGCCTACGTCTACAAACAAAAAACGTCACACGCTTTCGCGCTAAGCTCACCTCACCTGATCTGTCCTGACTTGACCGACACGCCACGCCACGCCACGCCACGCCACGTGGCCACACCACACTCCAGTGACCGATCCCTCCGACGGACAGACAGCCCGACAGACGCACAGACAGACAGACAGGCAGACAGACAGACCAGCACTCCCGTACGCGGCTGACATCCAACACGACAGAGAAACGACAGCTAAGCAACGCCTCACTGCACTGCCCCCATGGATGGATATCAATGGATGGCATTCGGGGGGTTCGGCCCCCCGATGTGCGTGTGTATCTGGCTGGGTATGGTACACAGCGCGACACGAGACGACAATCCCTGTCCCCTCCTTTGGCTGACAAAAACACACAGGGAAAAAATGTGGACCACACACGCACAAACACAGACATGGACCGGCGCAAAAAGTGCTCAGATTACTTCTCCTCCGGTCAGTCAGTCCTTTCTGTCCTCCTCAAAAGGGCATGGCATGAGTGCGTCAACGAATGAACCAACCAACCAACGAACGAACGAACGCATGAATTCACTATCTCGCCAGCTACCTCCCTACCTCCCTGTCTGTCTACCTGGATGAGACTCTTAGCAGCAGTGCGCCGACCCCCACGGCCACGGCCGACACCAGGCCCATCTGCCGCAACTGACCCACCAGCGCGCGACGACCGTTGCGACGCTGACAATACAGACACACAGACAGACAGATAGACAGATAGACAGGCCGACAAACGATTGCAAGGACGGCTGCGACGCACATTGGACGTCTGTCTGTCTGTCTGTGTTATGTGTTGCCTTGCGTGTGTGGTGCTCTGCTGCTGACCTCCCAATCGTCGTAGAATGGCGTGTAGAATAGTGACTTGGTGCCTATACACATCATTACACCAATGCGGCGCCGAACACCTCAACCCCTCTTCGTGGTGGTCTCTGCGTCGTGCGCTTACGATCAATGAGCAGGAGTGCGGCGGCCTCGATGAGGAGCATCCGCAGGAAGTCGGGCGACGTGGGCGGCACGTTGTCAAAACGCGGCAACTGATACCTGGTGCGCGCACCGCACAGAACAAGCTCCCCTCCGTGTCACACGCCCGATCGAGCCAGCCGTGATCGCGTGGGTCGTTCGTTTGTGCTGTACCTCTCGTCTTGCTCCTCCGTCGACAGGTGACAGTCCACCAGCAGCGGGCTCTGCACAATCGACTGACGCATCCTGCACCAACACACACATTGATGACACGTAACCAGCCCACACCTAACCAAGAGATTCATTCATTCTCACCTCTGCCCCCACGACGCCGAGGAGGGCCTCTGCTCCTCGCCGTTCCCACCCGCTCCCCCATTCTTGGCCCCAGCACCGCCACCGGCCGCCTGGTCGCCGGCAGCACTCGCACTCTCGTCGGCTGAGCACTGTGGGTGGGGCACCTCGGGCACGGGTGCCACCGGTGCCGTGAGTGCCGGCTGTGCTGCCGTGGGTATGTGGGGCCCGTGTGGTGTGGTGGGTGCGGGGTGTGTGGGCGATGGGGCGGGGGAGGGGTGTGATGGGGTGGGGGAGGGGGTGTTGAGCGCTGCCGCCACCAGGGGAGACGCCCAGTCGTCGAACAGCTGATGTGATGGGATGAGTAGACAGACAGAGTGATTGCGGACGGGAGGGGAGAGGGAGGGGGAGGATCAGAATTATGTCGAGGGGAGGTCAAAGTGTCCGCTTACTTTGATCTTGTATGCTTCAAATTCCTTCTGTAATCGGTCGCGCCGCTGCCGCAGCACATCAGGGTCCACAGTGTCGCACTAAACACACGCACACACACACCCCCGTACGTATCAGCGTGAGAATACGTCGATCCGCTCGCTGTGTCAGTCAATCAATGGGTCTCGGTTCGCTGACCTTCCCGATGACGGGTACGAGGTTGACGACAGTGGACAGCTTCTGCATGAGGGCGGCCTGCTGGCCGGGGATACGGTCCTGCGTCGGGTCCAACACATACACACACACGTGCACCTGATGGACACACAGCGACAACAGCAACAGAACCAACACACGCACACACGCAAAGAGAGAGAGAGGTGAGATGAGATGGGTGCGGGTCTGTCTGTATGCCTCGCCGCCGACGGGCATTGCATCCCTCCCTGATTGACCCGTTCGTCAGGTCCGCCGTGTCTGTGTTTCTTCCTGTTGATGTACTCGACCAGCTTGAGCTGACAGTGGGTGACCAGGAAGTCGCAACACCCACCCTCCACCACTGACACTGCACACACCACACCCACACGACAGCCACACACACATACAAGTGTGTGTGTGTTGGTCTGATCCAGCTGTCTCTCTCATATTCTCTTCTGTCACCTACCTTGTATGACGGAGCGCTGCTCGCTGATCTGGTAGATGTACTCGCGGCCGCACGTCGAGTCGCGCTCCTCCATCAAATGCCACTGCACACACACACACACACACACACATGTTGCCAATGGATGGATGGATCGATGCACTGCACACAGGAGTCAGTCATTCATTTGGGTACGTACCGAGTCGAACATCTTTTTGCGGAGTGTGGTTTTGCCGGATCTGCTCTCGCCGACGATGAGGATGTTGAAGCGGATGCCCTTCTGCAGAAACCGGCGCTTGTTCTGCTTCTCCAGCTTCTGCTGCACCTGCACACACGCATACCACACCACACAGACAGACATAGACATGCACACCCCATCCGTCTGTGTCTGTCTGTCTGTATGTGCACTGCCAGGAATGTGCTGGCGCCATATCGACCGACCTGCCTCTCTAGGGGGTTTCTGCAGTCGTCGACCTCCTGCAACTCAGATATGATGGTCGATATGCTGCTGAAGTCGTCTATGCCGCCATTCCGACCCACACCCTGAACAAAAACCAACCAATCACACACATCCATTCCAATGCCGTGCGCTGAGCTAACTGCATGCCTGAGTGAGTGAGTGAGTGGGTGTGTACCGGCGGTCCAGCGGCGGCAGCAGCAGCAGCAGCGGCCGCCCCCTGTGCGGCAGGGTATGCCGGCAGGGCAGGCTGCGGCTCCAATACAGCTATGTCAGGGTGGCAATGAGCATCACGCACAGGGGAGGGCGTGCTGGGCACCGCACCAGCAGCAGCGGCCGCCGCACTCGCCGACGACGGCCCTGGCGCACCGGGAGACGAAGGAACCTGTCGAGCAAACACAACACACGTCACACCCACCCCATCGAGCAGCCCAACCCATTGCCTCCCTCCCTCCCTGACCTCTGCATCTCCCTTGGCCGGCTCCCCTGCCTCCCCTCTGTCGAGCGCCGCCCGGTCCAGCTTGCCGGTGTATCCCGGCTCGCTTATCGACTTGATCAGGAAGGTGTCGGGCGCCACATCCTCACCGGATGCGATGACATCAGCGCCAGCGGACTCTGTTCGCAAAGGGGCGGCGTCTGCAGCCCGGCCAGACGGCGACGCCTTACCACCGTCCTTGCCGCGCCAGAGGTAGCTGAGCACGTTCATCGGCGGTATGGCAGACAATTGCAGATCAAAGCCTATTTGATCAAAGCCGCGCCTGGCGGAAGGATCCGACACCAGATTCAATCAGTGCTCGAGCATGCACAGCACACGGCACCCATCCATCGTGCCTTTCTCGCCCAGAAACTTCAAGCTTGCAAAAAGCTCGCGTGAAGATCGCCCTCAGCCAGATGCAGCAGATCCGACACCTTGTGTGCCACACTGCTGCCTTTGTGGTCAGATAGATCTGATCCGCATGACATTGAGTTGAAGATCAGTTGAAGATCAGCATCGCAGCGCAGCGCAGCGCGGCCGTGGAGAGAGATGACGATTCAGTTCATTCTGCTGATATCTCGGCAGGGCAAGACGCGTCTGGCCAAGTGGTTTGTTCCTCAGCCGCAGAAGGAGCGGCAGAAGACCATCCGGGAGATAGCGCAGCTGGTGCTCAACAGGCCGCCCAAGCTATGCAACTTCCTCGAGTGGAGGGACTACAAACTCGTCTTCAAACGGTGCGTGCGCAGGCCAGCTGAGCGTTCCACTCATTCCAGGAGACGCCCAGCACATTATATTGACACACAGCGGCTTTCTGTCCGTCTGTCTGTCTGTCTGACTGTGTGAGTGTCTATCTGTGTGTAGGTATGCGAGTTTGTACTTTGTGGCGTGCGTCGACAAGGACGACAACGAGCTGATCACACTGGAGGTGATCCACCACTTTGTCGAGATACTCGACAGGTACTTCGGCAACGTCTGCGAACTCGACCTCATATTCAACTTCCACAAGGCAAGGCACGCTACACACGCCCACAGCAGGGCAGGGCAGGCCATTGGCAGTATTACACACACAGGATGTGTGTTGGTGTGGTGTCTTTGCAAACAGGCGTATTACATACTGGACGAGTTGTTGATATCTGGTGAGCTGCAGGAGAGCAGCAAGAAGACGGTGCTGCGGGTGGTGGCGGCCCAGGACCAAATGATGGAGGAGGGCAAAGACGCCGCAGCTGCCAAGAAAACCACAGTCTTCTGACTGACTGACTGACTGACTGACTGAACAACCGCCTGACTGACAAGAATGGGCAACGTAGGTAGAGGCAGGCAGAGGTGCTGCCCTGCCGGTTGACTGACTGACGTGCTGTGTATACGGTCTACGCCACGCCATCCAGACGATTTTGTTTTGGTCGATTTAACTCATTCATCCGCTCATTCATTCATCATAGCGGGCACAGGCGTCTCATTGCCTCAGTCACGCGACTCCGTCCATCCATCCATCCATCGGCTCTACCGCCACGTGCCGTGTCTTGTGCCCCGCAGTCGGTCCTGCATGAGCGGCATTCTAAGCTGCAGCCTTCTATCGCCTGCATCGCCTGCAGCTTAGAAGGCATCTCGCGCCGGACCCGCAATGGCACACAAAACACAGCGACGCGTCAATCCATCCATCCATGCATCCACCCATCAAAGCACACACACACACACGGATGTCTGCGTACAGACAGATAATAATATGGACAGAGGTATGGACAACAGAGAAGAGGGCGGGTCAGGCCAGGCAGGCAGGCAGGCAGGCAGCGATCGTCTGTTTCTAAACACACAGTTGGTCCCCCCATTCTCTCTCTCTCTCTCTCTCTCTCACTCGCTGGCCGCAACGAATGGTCTCATGCACAGTAGACGTCGCCGCAAAGTGCATGTCAGTCATGTCAGTACTAGCTGTCTACGTTCGTTTGGAGCAACCAAGGCAGCGCGTCACTTGGCCTTGGCCTTGTACACAAACGACTGCAGCTTGTCCAGGAATGCCGCAGACGACACAACCATACCTGACACACACATGCACCAACATTATTACAATGAGCGCACGTGGGGCCACTTGGCCGCCTGAGTGACCTGACCTTGTTCATCGTCTTGATGATCGGCCTGCTTGTCCACCACCCTCTCCTTACGCCCACGCCCCTCCCTCGCAGCGCCCTTCGTGCCGCCACCCCTCTCGCCACCGCCACCAATAACCGGCTGCTCTTTCTCGACCTTGGCCGATGCTGCTGGTGGTGGGGCCTTCTTGTCCTTGGCTGCACGGGCCTCCTTGGGGGCTGCAGAGGTGGCTGCTGCTGATGCTGCTGCTGGTGCTGCTGCAGGGGGGTTGTTGTCGTCAATGGGAGGGCCGGATGCAGGCCGATCGTCCTTCTTGCCTTCATCTGCTACGGGAGGGGCGGGCTGTAGAGGGTGGGTGTCGTCAGTGCCGTTGCGCTGGCCGCTGTGGCAGCGGACGGCATCGTACTCCTCCAGCACAGCACCATCAGCACCACCGCCATTGGCATCCACCCCCTTGTCATGGTCTATCGACACGTCGATGTCAAGCACGGCCTCCGACTCGCCACCTGGACGGTCCGCCGCTGCCAGCCGTGGCTGCTCCTGCCCGTCCACTGCGATGTCCTGTCCTCCGCCGGCCTCCTCCTGACCCGCCTCTTCTGCCATGGGCTCTTCGCCGCCCTCCATCATCATCTGCTGCTGCTGATGCCCATCATAGTGTGGCGTGGCTGCGGTGGCATCGTCAGGCGTCTCACCCTCTACACCGGATGCCATGTCGAGCTGGGCGGCCCTCTCCAGCTGCCTGTCCCCCTGGCGCATGTTCTCCGCCGGGCCGTACCACAGCCGGTCCCCACTCATGCTCTCCTCCTCTACCTCACGCCTGCGCGCCACAAGTGCGCCAGCGAACAGACCGCGCCCGCTCCGACTGCCTCCGATGGGGGGGCGGTAGCCGAAGCTGTCGAGAAGGTCGATACGGTCGCTGTGGGGCACGGCGAAGGTGTCAGTGTCTTGCTGTTCGCCCAGCTCCTCTGCGCGGCGTTCCCTCAGTGCCTGCTGGAAGAGGTTGTGGGGGCGGGCGCGGGGGGCGATGTCCTTGGCCTGAAGGGCGGCCAGTGCCTTGCCGGTGTAATGGGAGACGAGTTTGGCCGGGGAGCATGGCAGGCCGTCAGGGCGTGATGAGGGGCTCTCCTCGGGCCGGGCCCTGCGGGGGGGTGGACTTGGGTACAAGCTGCTTGGGTACACCTTGAGAGTCTCCACGACTTTTGTGGGTCGGTAGTTGATTTGCCGCCATTCAGGCGGGTCGTCGTCGCCGAATGGCCGATCCCGCAGGTCGTTCACTACCACAAGACAGCTGCCCAGAACCTCCACGCGCTCGCTGGCTGCTAGCGGCCGATTGTACTGCATCACCACGGCCTCCTCGTCGATGGCTCCGTCTCTCATGATCCCCTCTGTGACCATCATGGCCTGCTGCCTCATCATGTCGGCATCCTCCTCCATCATCTCGGCTGCATGCTCCATCTCCATGGCCTCGTCCTCCGCCTCCTCTCGCATCATCATGGCCTCCTCGTCCTCCACCTGGCAGCCATCATCACACTCCTGGGGCATCGGCTCGCATGCATCGTCGTCATGCTGATGCATGGGATGGTCAGGTGACACCGTGCCCTCGTGCTGCTGCTGCTGCTGCTGCCTGGCCGGCCCGAAGCGAGACGGCTGGTGCTGCTGGTGCTGCTGGTGGAGGTTGTGGCCGTCATGGGTGCGATAGATGAAGGCGCTAAAGTCGGCAGGGCAGGGCTTCTTGGCGGGAGGGGGCGGGGCAGCCGGGGGGACACGTGGCGTGTCGACATGTGGACGCTTCTGCTGCTGCTGCTGCTGCTGGTGGTGGTGGGCGGCCTGTTTCTTCTCCTCAGTCGCGTCCATGTCCCTCGGTGTGCCGCCTCCCTCCCACCCTTTTCCCAAAGCCGTGGGCAATTTGCCCTGTGCGTATGCCTTCATCTTGGCCACCACGCCCTGCCCGTCCTCCTCCGCATCCATCGTCACGTTGTACAAGCAGTACACGGCGTCCGCGTTGACCTTGGTCCCTGACAGCTTCAGACCGTTCATCGGCTTCTTGCCGCCGAACAGCGGACGCCGCACTCGCCCGCCCTCACCGCTGGCATCGATGTCTTTGTCCTTGTCCTCCTTCTGGTCTTGGTCGTGCTTCGCCGCGAGGAGCGGGCGTGCTGGTGGGGGTGCGAGAGCGACGCCTTCGCGGGCTGATGGGCCGTCGATGTCAATCGGGCTGTCGGGGGGAGGGGAAGGGCCGTGAATGAAGACGGGCTTGAAGGGGGGCAGCGGAGGTGACTTGGGCGCTGCTGCGGCTGTGGTGTGGTTGTTCCTGTTCTTGACCATCCTGGCTTTGTGCTTGAGCCCGGCGAGAACTCCCAGTGGTGGGGGATTGGCGCCGCTGTAGTGGTTGTTGCTGTCCTTGTCCTTGTCCTTGTGTGGTTGTGCTGGTGGTTTGCTGTTGTTGCGGACTGCGGCTGTGTTCTTGATGCCCATGCCCTTCTCCCAGGTCACCTTGTCAAACCCGAGACGGCGACCCAGATCAGCTAACGGAGCCTCAGACTCTGAAACGATAGACGCACAGAGACACCGATGCACGGGGCACACACATCCGACCCATCTCGCCTACCTCCGGTGATCTCGCAGTCGTCCCCCTCCCCGTCCCTGCCACCTCCACCACCCTTCTTGTCCTCCTTCCTCGCCCACTGCAGAATGCTCGGCTGCTTCCCTGACGCCCCACCCTTGCTGCTGCCCTTGACACCATTCCTGACACCTCCCTTGGGCCTCTGACGATGGTCATTCTTGCCCTTCGCCTGACCCCCTGCACCAGCACCAGCTGCTGCTGCTGCTGCTGGCGCAGGTGCAGGTGCAGGTGCAGGTGCAGGTGCGTCGCCGATGGGGAGAAAGGGCAGCTTGGTCTGCTTCTTGGCTGCCTGGGCTGGGGGCGGCGGCTGTGCGGCGTTGGCAGGGAAGGGCTGGTGTGTGTGTGGGTGTAGGTCTCCAGTGGCGATGCCGTGTGCGATGTGGTCGGCCAGCCAGGGGCCGAGGAAGTCGATGTCGTCGAAGCCGTGAGAGGGGGTGTCGGGGATGGGGTGCACGCGAGCCAGGCATTGCTGATGGACACAGACGAGACGCAGCAGGGTTGGGTGAGAGGGGTGTCTCCCTGGTGATGGTGTGGTGGTTTTGGGATACGCGCGTACGTGTCTAGGGTCGTATACGGTTTGGTGTGCGAAGGTCATCTTGGCCTGCGCGTAGCCGACGTCGTAGTCATGTGGCACACTCAGACCCTGAAGACGCATCGCTTTCATGATCTGCACACACACACAAGAGGGCACAGGAGGGATGCGCGGGAGGCGGGCGGATCGGTCACCCAGACAGACACTCATTCCCTCACTCCCTCCCTCCCTGACCTTTGCGACGTCTGCCCTGAACTGTCCCGCGAGTTTGCCAGCGGTCTTGATGCCGACCTTGTCGACGCTGCAGAGGTAGTCGCACCCAGCCATGATGCACACCTGCTGAAACAGATCTGATCAACGAA